GGTGATAGTAATGATATTGAAAACAAGAACGACAAACAACTATACTATTTGTGAAACAGTATGCCTGGTGCTTTCCACAGGCTATCTTATGTAATAAACACTTCAGGGGCCATATTATTATTCCAGTTTTACAGATGAAGAGACTGAGGCTCAGAGAGAGTTGGTATGAGCCAGAACATGAGAATGTGTTCCCAGCGTTTTCTGGCGTTGGAACCTGAGCTTCATAAACATTTGTGGGTTCTGACCTCCAGAAAGTGCTAAGAAACAAATGGGAGGTCAATTTGATACAAGTTGTAATGAGTTCATGCCTACACCAGAGTTAAACACAATGCCACTGGAGGGAAGGGTATTCAGAGTGGGGAGGGTTGGTGAGACAGCAAGGGAAAAGCCTGGGCAAAGGGGCAGATGTGGGAAAGCAGTGGGTGTGGTAAGGGCAGTTTGGATAAACTTTACAGTGTGTGTGTGTGTGTGTGTGTGTGTAGAGGTAGGAAGTGATCATACCAGGCCAGGGCTTTGGCCTTTATTCCATAGGCAATAAAGAGCTTACACAAGAGATGTCTCGAGGGACCAACCAGGCTGCTGCAGTCAGAGAGGAAGCAGCCCTCAGCCCATCTGTGTCCTGGCTTGTGAATGCCTGTGTGTGCCAATGCGTGGGAGGGTATCCGCGGGGAGAGCACGTCTCAGGATGTGTTCTATACTAATCAGGGTGTGGGTCTTGGGCTCCCTTCAGGGCGCTCTTCCCCATTTATCTATGCCCTGGGTACCTTATATAAAGTAGGCCTACAGGTAGTATGTCACAGAATTATTGGAGGGACTTTTGAGATCACTTGGTCATCCCATTTTAAAGAAGATGAAAGTAAGGAATGTAGCTGGGAAAGAATTTGTCTAGGACAACACAATGAATTAATAACAGAGCTGGGGACTGGAACCCATGCCTCCTGAGTTCAAGACGAATTACTTTTCTGTATATTCTGTGTAATGGAAATAGTATTTGTTGAGTGATTATTCCATACCAGCCTCTGGGCTAAGCGCCTTACCATTGATTACCTCATTTTATCCTCACAGCCTCCCTGAGAGTGCCTCTTCTGAAAGCAGGAAGTCTTATCTTCCATTTCAGTTTTCCACAGCGCCTAGTACTGTCCCTGAGCACCTGCCTAGGGAGGCAACGAAAACTCGGTGGAGTCTTCAAGTCCTGCGAAGGAGAAAAAGGGCGAGGGGGCGGGCCTCTCGAGATGCACCGCCCATCTAACACACCACGCCTCTAGAACATGACATCACAATCAGGCCCCGCCCCTCATTGTCAGTCCCGGGAAGCCGGAGGAGGCGCCGGCTGTTGGGAGCCGAGCGCCGGAGCCCTTGGCGGGCGGGAGCGCGGGCCCGGGCCACGGAGGTGAGGGTCTGCAGGGCGGCGACGGGAACGCGGCGCGGAGGCCGGGGCGGGCGCGGGGAGAGGAGGGGGGCCGGAGTGGGGGCTGGCGGCCGGAGCAGGGGCCGGCCCCCATGGGGGTCGGGACACCCAGGGGCGACGGGGCGGAACAGGCGGGCACACCCGAGGGATGAAGTGTGGAGTTGTGGGGGAGAGTTTGAGTGGATTTTGGAGGGAGAGCTCGGGAGAGCGATTTGGGGAGGTGAGACCTTGAGAATGTTTCTGGAGTTGTAGGAAGAGAATCTGAGGAGATTTTTCTTCTGGAGGGGGAGGGAAGGTTCTGAGGTGACTTGGTGGGAGCGAGAATCTGAGGAGAAAGGTTTGGGGCAGAGACGCGGAGACATTTTCGAGGGGGCGGAGAAGAGTTTTTAGGTTTGGATTTGGGATGGGGGGCGCGGGGCGCCGGCCGGGTGGGGGCGGGGCGCGGCGAGCTGGTAGGGGGCCCGGGCGACCGGGGAGGGGGCTGCGCGGGGCCCGGCGGGCACCGGGGAGGAAGGAAGTGATCATACAGGAAGAGCCCGGGAGCTCCGGGCAGGAGGAGGAGGGAGGTTTGGGAGCGCGTCGGGCCGCCAAGCGTGCGGGACCGGGCTGCGGGGCGACAGGCGGGGACCAGGCGGGGAAGGGTCCCGCCGCCGCCGCCGCAGCTGTCGGCCGCGCCGGTCCGTGTCCTGGGCGCTGCTGGTCTCGTAGCCAGACCGCTGGGCCGGGAAGGAATTCGAGGCATTTGCTTTGTTTAAGTTGCCAGTAGACAGTCCTTAGGACTAATTAATGGTGGAATCTGCAGGGGGACGCGAGCGAGCGGGGCCGGAGCCGCCCTCCGCCCGCCCGCCGCGGTGAACTTTCCGCAGCCCGCCCCCCTGCGCAGCCCCCGCCCCGCGGCCCTGGCGGGGAAGGAGCCATGGCTTCCCGAAGCGCAGGAATGAAGTGCGGTTTCTGGGGCCGGTGGCCTCTGGCTGCCTGCAGGGAAGCCGGCGTCCTGGGGTGGCCGGGCTGGGGCTCGGGAGCCCGCTTTCGAGCTCTTGGAGGTGCCTGCGGTTTCTGTTAATAACCTTGGAGAAGGCTCTGCGGGCCGAGAAAGACCATCTTGCTTTGGAGCATCTGTTTCTTCATCGCGTCAGCCCCTTTCCTAACACTGCAGAGCTTGTTACGGCATGTTTCGGAAATGCCGAGGCCAGTGCTCACCCTTGAGGGTGGGAGAGGGGAAGAGAGTAGGCACCCCACCCCCCACCCCCCAAAACCCTGCAGTGTGTTCTCTAGAAGGCCAGAAACTGCCTGCAGATTCACTGTCGCACCTTCACCACTCCAATGACCTTGGGAAAAGGATTGTGCTGCTGAGCCCCTAGTGCCTTATCTATCGATTGAGGAGAAAATGCTCTCTGGACCTCCCTGCCTTTTGGGGATATTTTTGAGGGGTGGGGTTTGCTCAGGGTATTTCTTTTACAAACACTGCTGCAGTTCTGGCCTAAGGAGCCGGGCTTGTGTCTGCTCAGGGAGAATTCAGATCATCTAGTAAGATTTTACTACCTCAGATTAGGGAGGGAGGGGATTGCATTTTAGGGGGGATATTTTTTTCTGGAGAATCTGTACAGTATGTTCCAGATTGCTTTCTGTCAGTTTGTGTGCAGTTTTGGTGGCATTTGTGTGGTTAAATTGAATAACCCCCTTAGAAAATTCTTCTCTTGTCAGAAATAATTGTTTTGCTCAGAATTCCCCTTGGGGCAGATTAAGGTTTTGCTCAATTTACTCAGAAGAATTTTCCAGGTTTCTAAAATTAAATCACTTTTCTAAACATAGTAAAGTTGGAAAAGCTGGAAATAATGGGATGGGAGGGGAATGGGTTGGAGTATGAATAGGACAGCAAATAGATTCATTGTTGGCCAGCAATTAATAATATGGATTGTTAATTAGCCTTTCTAGTTTATCTTAATCTTAAATAATTTAAGACCAAGAAAGAGAACTAATATTGGTGAGTTACCTATTCTGTGACTAGTAATTGTGCTAAGTTGGTATATACCTTAGTCTTGCCAACAATTTTGTGAGGTTGTTGGCATCCTTGTTTTATAGATGAGCAAACTAAGAAAGTAAAGTGACTGTCCCAAGTTCGCACATACAACTAGTAAGAAGTGGAACTAGAATTCAAATCCAAGTTTGTTTTTAAGGTCCATGGTTATCTTCACTATGCATGCTGTCTTGGGAACCAGGAGACCTAGTTTCTAGGCCTTTGATTTAGCCACTGGATCACTGGACCTTAGAATAAGTCTGTTAGATCTGTTTTCCAATAATGTTGCCTTCTTTTCTTCCGGTGGTGTTGTCAGTGTGTTTCTGAGGTATGCTGTTTTTTGGTAAAAAGATTTTATGCAGTAGGGGGGTTAATTTTAGCTTATGATGGACCCACTTCTTTCTTTTCTCTCTTTTTTTCTCTCTCTTTTTTTGGGGGATGTATGACAGAGTCTCTTTTGCTCTAGGTTAGAGTACCCTGGAGTCAGCCTAATTTATAGCAAGCTCAAACTCTTGGGCTTAAGCATTCTTTTTTTTTTGTAGAAACAGACTCTCACTTTGTGGCCCTTGGTAGAGTGCTGTGGCATCACAGCTCACAGCAACTTCCAACTTCTGGGCTTAGGCGATTCTCCGGCCTCAGTCTCCGGAGTAGCTGGGACTATAGGAGCCCACTACAACACCGAGCTATTTTTTGTTTCAGTTTGGCGGGGGTCAGGTTTGAATCTACCACCCTCAGTGCCGGTGGCAGTGTCCTACCCACTGAGCCACAGGCACGGCCCTGGCTCAAGCATTCTTCTTGCCTCCTGCCACAACCTCCCAAGTAGCTGACTTTTTTTTTTTTTAATTTTTAGTAGGGTTTCACTCCCACTCAGGCTGGTCTTGAACTCCTGAGCTCAAGTAGTCCTCCCACCTCAGCCTCCCAGAGTACTAGGATTACAGGCGGGTACCACTGCGCCTGGCCGAGATGCAAGCATTTCTATGAAAATATGGTACCTAAGTGACCATACATTTAATTTATGTAATGGAAGATCATAGATAGCAAATAGCCCTTCTGTTGTCGAGATCATCTTTAAGGTGAAATTTATGATCAGAAACTGCCCCATTTTCATGTAAGATGACTTTTTTTTTGAGACAGTCTCACTATGTCACCCTCAGTAGAGTGTGGTGGCATCACAGCTCACAGCAACCTCAAACTCTTGGGCACAAGAGATTTTCTTGCCTCAGCCTCCCAAGTAGCTGGGACTACAGGCGTCCATCACAACGCCTGGCTATTTTTTCGTTCCAGTTGTCCTTGTTTAGCAGGCCTGGGCTGGGTTTGAACCTGTCAGCCCCATTGTATGTGGCCAGCACCCTAACCATTGAACTACAGGCGCCGAGCCATGTAAGATGACTTTTGGGTACATTGTCAGCTTATGAGTAAAGCATGTTACAGGTAGGATCCATATAGTCAAAGCTGAAAGATTTGGTTGTTAACTTTGATACATATAATAGATGCTCACTAACTGTTTCCTAAATGAATGAATATATGTGTTCTATTAAAAAAATCAGCTTTATTGAGGTATAATTACAATAAAATTTACTAATTTTAAGTGTACAGTTTGACAAGCTTTGACAAATGTATACAGTTGTATAATCACTACCACTATGCACATTATTATCTTTTAGGAGTTGGGTAGCAGATATATCCCTGGGAATGTTATGAGGTTTCTGTGCTGAGTTAATACTGTGAAATCAGAGTGAATACTAGACAGTTAGTGAGCCAACTTGGTAGGAAATAGGGAAATCTTAGGTATTTAATGTTGAGGTGAATGAAGAGTGCAAGAAAGGGAGAGAAACTTGTCTGATCAGAGGAAAAAAATGAATAAATTTAGGGAGAACAAGATTTTAATTTTAGGACAGGGGATACAGTTTGGGGGAACAGATTACCTAAGGACATATTAAGGAGTTGAACTTTTAACTTTTGTTTCCTTTTGAAATGGTAGCTACCTAAATATAAAACTTACCATCTTTGGGTATGCTGTGCTTAATACTTTATGGTTGTTCAAATAAGACTTAAGGGTGGGGATGCTATAAAGTTGTTGAAGGCCTTGCTCTTCCACATATGATAGAATAATGGCCTTAGTGTTGATCTCTAACTTGTTTTAGCTAAAAGTCCCCCAAAGTAAGAATACATTAGGAATTATGACTTGCTGGGAAGACATAAATTATTTTTTCCTTTTCTCCCCCCACCCCCAGTAGTAAGATAGGATTTTATTAGACAGAAAGGAATACAGAAGCAGTAAAAAACATCACCAGACCTTCTGGCAAAGGGGAAGACCCAAGTTGGAAAAATGTTTTTTCTTTTTCATAATTTCTTAAGTCACTGAACCTGGCCTATCTGCTTTAGCTTAAGTGTGTGTCTCAGAAAATGCTTGAAACCTCTGCTATTGAGCTTCTAGAAGAAGCCCCATTTCAACCTCTTAATCTCTCTCCTTTCACTCTCTCTAAGAGACAGGGTCTTGCTTTGTTGCCTAAGTTGGTCTCAAACTCCTGGACTCAAGAAATTGTCCTACCTCAGCCTCCTACTCTTTTCTCTTTATTCATTCTATTTTTGTGTATTAACTATTGTTTTATAAGCCTCCCCTCCACCCATGCATTTGTCTGAAAATGAAAGCTCTTATACATTGACCACTGACCTTCCATATACCATTAGGAAATAATAATTAAATTAAAATACCTTTCAGGCTCGGCACCTGTGGCTCAAATGGCTAAGGCACCAGCCACATACACCTAAGGTGCTAGGTTCGAATCCAGCCCAGGCCCACCAAACAACAATGATGGCTGCAACCAAAAAATAGCCAGGCATTGTGGTGGGCACCTGTGGTCCCAGCTACTTGGGAGGCGGAGGCAGGAGAATTGCTTGAACCCAGGAGTTGGAGGTTGCTGTGAGCTGTGATGCCATGACACTCTACCCAGGGAGATAGCTT